GATTCTCTAAGTTGCTTGAGCTGAAGTTTAGTAGCTCATTAATATCCAAAAAGGTACCTCATTATGAAGCTTACTTTTGGAGTGGCCTTGTCCCTTCCCCTTCCCCTTTTCTTCTTGTCTCTTGGAAAACCGTGGCTTGTATTAATTGGAGGCTGAATTCTATGCTTTGAATTCATTGGGAAGTTAATGATTTTAATGCTAGACATTCCAACCGGCTGATATTTCCATGCCTGGGCCTTTTTCCGAAACATTAATTCCATGAACTTTTGGCTCCAGTGAATAAAAAAACTTTGATTTCTAGCAGGCTGCTTGCTTACCGAGACATGGACTCCTTGGTTCCATGAACTTGCCCTTTGATTCCTGTTCTGGTTTTAAGAGGGGCTGATTTCCGAAATGGGATGCTTTTCCCGTAACTTTGCTGCTTTGAATTTTCGGTCTGCTTGCTGGCTCCTTGGTTCCGTGAGATGATGGGCTGTTTTTTTTCAAAATGACTCTTGGAAATCCTTTGAAAAATAAAAGCTTGGGATGTTGTGAACATTAACTATGGTGGCTTTTGGCATTCCTCTTCTTTGCCTATAAATATGAGAAAATGTTGTGAAGGAAGGGAGTTGATATTTGTGAGCATATTTGCTATTAACCTGCGGGTTTATTCGGAAATCCTGCGGGCTCTTTCCAACCTTCTTTTCTCATCCCCTCCGGAAATCCTGCGGACTCTTTCCACCCTTTTTTCTCGGGCTTCTAATCTCTTCGTCTCTCCGCAAGTGCCACTCCATCTGTATCCTTCTTCTCAACAGTGAAGCAACTTTAGGGTGTCGTATCTTGGTTGATTTGGAAGCATTTGGGACAGTCTTGCAGTGGTGGACCATCGGTTTGCTAGTTCTATGCACTTTACTTATTTAACCTACAAATTCAATGCATGTGAGGAACCCGCTCTGACGGTTGTCTGAGGATAGTGTTTTTTTTTTATTTCTTTAAAATCTCCTAGCATCTTTTGTTGTGTTTGTCTAGTTTTGGGTCGTTAGCATTTATTTAATAAAATTTGTTTTAAGTTCTACTCATTGTGTCAGATTTCTTCTTGTGTGCCTATTGTGTTCAAGAGATATAGGCTCCCTATATCTCTTGTCTACATCAATACTCCCACGTTTTCTTTCACTTATGTATTGAAGGAAGCAATTTGTTATGCCGGCCCAAGGGGGCCAGCTGAACCGGTCCAACTTGGATCGGTTCCCACCTACTAGAGGCGGTTCAAGGGCGGCGGAATTAACAGGGAGGGGACGGCTGGAGTAGAGGGGCCAACACACTAATGATGCTTAGTATTGGAGGGAAAATTCAAATTAGGAGTTGTTTAGGGATTAAGAAAATTTCCTTTGTCTTTAATTGATTTCTTCTTGCTAGGGTTAGGGGCATCTTGAATTTGTGAAATCTGAATTTGAGATCTAAGGTTTGTTCTTGGGCTCTAGGCTAGAGATTTGGAGAGCTGAATCTTCCTCTTAAATTGAAGATTCATTGTATCGCGTTATTCTTTTTCTTCTCTTGTTGAATTTCAAGTGTGTTTCTTCCTATTTTCCAACATATGTTTGTGAAAACTGCACTGTTATTGTTGAATTTCTCTGAAACACAGCAGTTTTCTTGTGTTCCATGGCTGTTTTCTATCACAGTTCTTTCCAGTCATATCATCGTACTAGTTTCCCTTTATTCTTTGAGCATGGCTTATATTTTGCTAGACACAAGCCATCCATTACTTTTCATAATAAACTTGCTGTCATTTTTTTATGGTAAGATTTTTGATATGCCATCATCATTTTCCTATGCTTTGATTGGTAAATTTTCTTTAGGTGCCTAAGATTGGAGATTATTCTTACTTTCATGTCTAATTTATATCTAATAGATGATTTCTCAATTGAGCTTCTTGATTATTGTCACATGCTCATGAAAGAATCTTTGAAAACAGATTATTTAAGCTTTTTCTCTTGGCAAGCATGTGGCAATGATCAATATATTGTCACTCATATCATATGAATGATCTATCGATGTGTATGTTGAAGGAGTCTCCATATATTAATTTGTATGAGGATCCTTTTATAAGAACTCCATAGGTTATTTTCCCTCGTATTTATGTTCATTACATCAATCAATCAACGTTATACACATAAGGATCAATTCTTAGCAAAGCAATATAAACGAATACTGACACGCCAGACTATCTGATGCAGACATCCAATCATGAAGATTTTCAAAGGAGGAGACGACGATCGACGGCCGAGATCTTTGAAATTTTTATTTTTATTATGAATTTTCCGTTTTTACCCTTACTTAAGAGGGTCGTCCTATGTAAGCCCTAGGGGCATATGTGTCTTGTTTTAGTTTCTTAGGCCTATATATAGAGGACCTTGCTTGTGTAATGGGATGATGAATTATTGAATGGAAAAAGTTTGTGCTTGTTTGATCTCTTAGTGAGTTCATGAGAGGAGAAGGATCTCTTTGTGAGTTCCGATATTCCCAAGATCCCTTAGTGAGTTCTTGAGGAGGAAGTGATCTCTTTGTGAGTTCCGAGATTCACAAGATCTCTTTGTGAGTTCTTGAGGAGGAAATACTTGAGATTTGCAACTCCCTAGATTTTTCAATTTTTTCTCTTATTTCTCCTGGCATTTGTTTTCCCCTTCCCCATCTCCCTACACCCGTCGGCTCCACCTCCCCAAATTCCCCACCCACCGGCACCCAAACTTCCCCACCCGCCGTCCCCTAGGCACCACCACAATCACCGGCCCCTTTCCCCCATAGCTCCCAAAATCTGAATTCAATTCCATCATAAAATCTTTCTTAATTTAGCCCATCAATTTAGGAGGAGATTTAAAATTCAAAATTCAAAGATTTGAATTTAAATCCTCTCTTAAATAATTCCCCTCTAATTTAGGAGACATTCTCAATCAACATAAATCTGAAATTAATTTTCAGATTTATGTCACCAATCACCTTAATTGTTTGGGCCCACCTCCTTAATGCCTAACCCCTCTCTCTCTCCTTTGTCATTAAATGCTCCAAATTAAGACTCCTTAATCACCTCCCTCTTGCCCCCATTCCACTATAATGATTTCAATTATCATAACTCCCTTCCTAAATTAACTCCAAGAGAAAAGGAAAGTAATTACCTCAATATGAAATTTGAAATTCAAATTTCAAAAACTTTCCTTATTTGTAAATCTTAATTAGGAAAGTGCAAAAATTCAAGTTTATTTGAAATTCAAATTAAATTGGATTTCATGATAGCTTTCCTAATTCCCATGAGTTATTTTGGAAGCTCTTAAATCCCTCCACAAAATCCTCCTCCCTCTCTTAATGCCGCCGGCCCCATTATTGGGCTCCACCTTGGATTTCCCTCTTAAGCCCAACTCCCATTTGAATTTGAAATCAAATTCAAATTCTTTCTCTTTGCACTCTCCACCTAAGCATCAATTAATACCTCCCTCCTGCCTTGGACCCGCCGCCCGCTTCCCCTATCACTTCCCTTCCTCCATGGAACATCCATTTGTCAAAAGGTTCAGTTTTTCCCTGCTATCCCAGAATTCCAGCCAAGAAAAATCTGGATTCCGGCTGCCTAAAATCTCCAAACTGTGGGCTGCTCTCTCACAACCTGCTGTCCAACTGTTTAAGCCCAACCCTTGCTGTCCTGAGGAGTTTCCAAGGTCAAAAACTGCTGTCCAAGGAAACTGGACTGTTGTCCGCTGATTTCTGCAGGCTTCCCAACACCGTATCTTTCATCCGAAAGACTCCAACTGCTGTCCACTTCTTCCCCAACACCAAAGTGACTACACCGGAGCTCCGTATTTGTCTTTCCCTTTGGAACATTAAGCGTGCAAATTTTCTATAAGCAACTCATCCATGCAATTATGTTTCACATCACTATCCCAACCATCCATAGCCCATGATCATGCTGAAATAGATATTTTTACCCCTTTTGGCCAAGGAGATTTGGATTCACACTTCATTACATTGTTCTTGGCAAAAGCGGTACTTGAGGGTTTGCCCAGTTACTGTTAGTCTTGTAATTTTTCAACCATACTTATACTGAATGATTTAAGGATCATCCAAAATCTAGAAAATCCTCTTTCAAGAGTCATTCAGGATATAGCTCTAGTAATCATGGTATACCCACCATACAAGAATTATGTGTAGTAAATACTAATGATCAAATTAATCCTAAAAACTTTCTAGAAGATGCTGCATGAACCTTCCACAGCACCCCTTAAAAAAGTTATCATGCTAAAGACGCGACTCTATACTCTTCCTTTAAGTACGTGACTTCCCTAATTACTGCTTGTTTGTTGGATCATATCCTCCCTATTCCCCACAATCTCAAGTATCATCAGATATAGTTGTTGAGCCTACTAATACTTCCATAGCAATGTTTAAGAAAGCTATAAATTAGCCTTTAAGTGTCCCATCAGTCATTCCTACATTCCTTTCTCCATGACATTACAATTGTGTTCCTTAATGCTATCATTGTTTGTTCAAATGTGGAAGTTATTGATGATTAAAACTTTGTTCGGTCACAATATTCTATTATAAGTATTCTTGGATTGATGGGTAAAATATTTTAATTTGTGTTTACTTGAAGAGGCATGAACTAGAAAAAAAAATAATTCATTCTCACATGTTTACTTCAATTTTCAAGGTTTACTAGATTTTAGGCGTGCTAGGTTTTTACCCTGAAAGAAGACATACTTTTCTCCTCTTATATGGATATTAATCTCTTAACTTCAAGTTATCTAATGTATCTTATTTTATTTCATTTTTTTCTTTTGCTTTTTTGCAGGTAATTCGTTGTAAGTGTTTGTTCATTTAAGTAATATTTTAACTGGCTCGTAATAAAATTTTGTTGCTTTAAAAATGATAAAAAGATAAGCAAGCAGTGCCTTGGTGAACCAAAAGAAGCTAAAAAATTAAAAGAGTATAAAACTTTGAAAAATGTAAATGTTGTGTACTTGCTAATAACTTTATACCTCACCAATGGTTAAAGGCGTTCTTCCAGGAACAGAAGGATAAAATGTGAGTGCAACAATTCGAGTAAGGAAGTTCAATTCACCTTCCAACTCTTCAAAGTCATACAACATAGGAAGGTAAGAATTTTCTTGAGCATGTAAGCGTGCACTATTTCCCGTGACAGCTAAATCTTCCGGATCAATTCTACCAGTCAAGGAAATCAACAGATTTGTCCCATTTGAACATTGAGGTATACAAGCACCCTGCATTAGCAAAGGGAAAACTAGTGATATAGGTCAACTTCGATATGAAATATAAGATGGCAAGATTCAGCATGTTAACCAATGAATTAACCACACAAAAAAAAAAAAACACGCAAAATAGAACAGCAGATTAAAACAATCAAAGATATTATGTAAATAAATTATTCCAAACAATGACATCGTGTTATAAAAGATATACAGATTATTGCTGCCTATTTAAGCCACAATTGTAAAAACAGACCAAACTCTAATGGCCGCTAATGCAAATTTGATAGGGATACTAATAAAATCTTTCAGCAAATCCACTTGGAGCAAGACCAGCATGGTCCTGTTCTTTTGCATCTCCTTACTGTCATCTTGTAAGATATTAGCATAAATCAGGAATGAGATCAAAACCAGCCCATAAACATAAATACAGATTTTATCAGCTCATGATTCAGATCCTTTATTTTGATCTAAGATATACTGCAAACTATCTATGTAGGCACTTTAAGTCATCATGATTTCAATAGAAAAATAAGCTCACCAACCACCACAACATAGTTGAATACAACAAGTTAACCAACCGCATAATTATCTAGATGGGTAAAAACCCAAAATAACCCCCCAGATTATTAGTAAATGTCTAATTTAATTACATATTGTTATAAAGACCCAATATAGTCTCCTAACTATAAAAAAATTTCTCAATTTGGTCCCAATGCAACCCATCAATATCGCAGCAGCTCGTTGTCACACAAAGCTATCTAACGTCGGTGCAGAGCTGTTTGATTGTATTAACTTTTCATTTGGTAGCTTATATGGCTACAGAGGTTTAGTGCTTGTTTTTTATTCTGTGTAGCCTAATAGGGGCTACCTTTGTCTATAAATAGGTAGAAACATTTGTAATAGAGACGGTTGAGATGAATAGCACTTTAGTAGTTTTACTATGTTTTGTATCATATATCTTGAGATTAATCTCAGGTGATGGATTATTTTCTTCCAAGGAGGAGTTCTTGGATTTGCATTCGGCCACGACCACTGGATCATCGACGTGGATTCCTCGAGCCCCCTCCGGTCCGGTGTCACTATTGGTCTCTGTCTCCTTGTGGATGTCGTAGCACATCATCTCGTGGCGCAGCTCACGGTCTTCAACGATCTTGTAGCAACATGTTGTCTTACAGCATTCTATCTCCACGAGATTATAGCTGGAAGGCAAGCTATTCAGGTATTTAAAAAAAAATTCCTGAAATACCTCATGCAAATCAAATCCTTGAGGCCTTTTCCGTTAATTAAATGAAAAATCTAACGTGAGGGCTAAATTGGCATATTTTCTAATAGTCAAAGGAATATATTGGTTCAATATGAAAGTCTAAACTAAATTGGGTACTTACCAATATTCAAGAGAATATTTTGGGCCATTACTCATATGTAAGCATTACAGTGCGTTATAAAAATAATTTTAGGGTAAGGGTGAGGAATTGAGGTTGGGGGGAATAGTGTTCACAAGTTTGTGTAGTGTCAAATAAATTATTACTAACAACCAATAAATTCAAGGCCAATCAATAAAATGACACCCAACCGAACTATATCCACCACCGCACAATTTTTTTTTTTTTCGATACTCTTGTGCTTCCTTGTGGCCACCACTCATCTCGGACACCCTAGTGCTTCATTGCATGTAGCTCAATATCATGCCCCAAGATCAAATTTTGAAATAATTGTCTATCTTAACCTTTTGATTAATCTACTGAGCTACTAATCTTATTCAAGTCCAACAGAAACCAGCAGAAACAACTATAGATTTTTTTTTCAATTTATCATTTCATTCATTTCCGAAAATTCATATACAACAGTAAAAAATTCTTTCAGTACATCATTTTATCTTTCTACTCCTTAGTACAAAAGAAATAATAAATACACAAAAAATAAAGCCAAATAAAACAAAACTTGAAGCTTGATCGATCCCACTCCACTGAATCTTGACCCCTTCCTAAAAACATGTGAAAACTACTGAGTGAGCTAACAACTCAGTAGGTTACTAGAACCTGTAGGCTAATCTTACAGGAATTAGTTTCAATCATATCAATCATATTACCAGGAATCAATCTTATATCATATATCACAAGTCAAGTGGCTTATATTTAAGAAGTCATCACTTCATGCCCGTCAGCGTATCATATCAGATCAATCAATCTCCTTATGCCGCCCTTTTAATATTATTTAGGACTATACCACAAAATTTATTTAAAGGAAAAACTCTTAGCGTACTCTCCTGTATAGGGTAATATGTCTCAAGTCAACCTGAATCAGTCAATCATTTCTAACCAGTCTTTCTTGCATTTACATATATTTCACATTATATAGATCATAATAGCAAACATTATTATACACCAAATGCAATTATCACTATACTTATCCATATGCCTATAATATGTCAAAAATACATGTTTGATTAAATGAATAATAAATATGTACATATTGTATATTTCATGTCCAAATATAATACTTATACTTGATTATTTTATACTCAATATTATACTACTCATTTCAATTAAATTGATATATAAACAAAATCACCTGATGAAATTTCAATATTGACTAGTCAAAATACTCAGGGTAATGATATCTATCGCATATCAAAAGTTACATAGTGAAAATCATTAAAATAAGAAATATTGCATTTATATTAATTTCAAAGTGAAGAAAATAGGAAAAACACGAATTCATTGAAAACAAAGATAGGATTAGGGTTACCTACCACGATCAGACTAGCTTTCTAAGATGGTGCGATGGAAAATACCAGTTGAACTCTGCTTTTTCTCTCCTTCCTTCTCTCTTCTCTTTTCTATCCCTTTCTCTCTCTTCTCTCACCAGCTAAATAATGGAATGGGGAGGGTGGAGCTAATTTAAGGTTTTGATGAAATGCATTCAGATATATATATATATATATATATATTATTTTTTTGACCAAACGCTGTAACGTTCTAACCTCAATGCCACAACGCTCCCTCGATCTAAAAAATTAGAGAACTTAGCATCGCAGTGCCCCAAGTGCAGTGCTTCCTCAAATTCTAAAAAACTGGAGAGCTCAACTCCACGATGTTGTCCACCTAGCGTCAAAATGCTCAACTAGCCAACAACAACATCAAGCCTTTATCCCACAATGTGAGGTCGACTGTATGAATCCTTTTTCTCCATAAAGCCTTTATCATCCACCAGAGCATCCTCATCTCTGCTACACTTAACTTAATATTATGCTTCCCTTTTAATGGGCAACATTCTGCACTATAAAGATTTGCATTTCTACTTATAGAATTTCCCCTTAAGTTTGAGGGGGACTTTTCTATCACACAACAAGCCCGATGCATTCCTCCAAGTTTGAGGGGAACTCTTATTAATGACTTGATTACCCAAAGTCACAACCCCCCACAAGAACTATTATTACTAAAATTACACTCCACACATTCCGTTTTAGATCTACTCAAACAAAAGCCTTAGACTCTAAGGTTGCCTCCACAATTCAAGTTTACATTTAACTCCCTCTCTAGTCTTATCAACAAGAAGAATATCATAAAAAAAAAAGCATATAATAGGTTACAACCTCTTGCAAATGTCTAGTGAGAACATCCATGACTAAAGAAAAAAGATATGGGCTTAAGGATGATCCTTGATGTAATCCAACTAAAATAAGAAAATACTTTGTCAAACCACCTTGTGTCTGAACATAAGTAATAGCTCATGCATACTATCCTTAATGACTTGAATATAAGCATTATTAACCCCTTGCTTTTCTAGAACTTTCCATAGAACTTCTCTTGGAACTTTATCATATGCTTTCTCTAAATCAATAAATATCATATGTAGATCCTCCTTATTCTCTGTATACTTCTCCATCAAATCTCTCAATAAATGTATAGCTTCCCTAATAGATCTACCCGACATGAATCCAAATTGATTTTGAGAAACATTAGCATCACGCCGTAACCTATGCTCCATAACTCTCTCCCATAATTTTAAAGTATGACACATTAACTTAATTCCTCTATAATTCACACAATCTTGTGCTTCACATTTATTCTTAAAAATAGGAATCAACACACTCATTCTCAAAAAATTAGAAAAAATAAATTTAAGGTTATTACGCTTAGACCTAATCACAATTCACGCTCTTGCACTCTTGCGTGGTAACATCAAAATCATCCCTTCTGTAGTAGCCAATGTGCTTGGCATTCATAAGTTACAGCTCTATTTCATTGCATCTCCCTCCATTATTCCATGAAATTGCTCATATGCAATCGATGACTTCAATGGAGGCTTGACTTCACCTTCTCTTGTGAAGCCCACTTAGATCTCCCTTCATTGGGTGTCTTCACCCGCTGAGCTGGAGCCCCTTGACGCCAGCAACTAGACTTCTATTCATACTTCTTTTGTATCAACTCATCTAAGCCAATCATACCTTGATGGTCTATCCGTTGTTGACGAGCCATATGCCTCTTTACCTCAAAATCTTCCGACTGTTGGTTCTCTGCATCCTATGGCAGCTCCTATTTCATTCGCTGATGATGTTAAGAGAGGTTCTTTAAAGCGGTAGCAGCCTTTTGGTTTCCCTTTATTACTTTAGCAAGGCTTGATCTTTAAGGGACACAAGTAGCCCAACAATACCTTTCAAGGGTAAAGCCGCTCTTATTTTTTCTCAGGCTGAGATTTCTAATCTAACAGCTTCATTTTCTCCTACTTTAGCTGAAGATTTTGCCTTTGTCTATCTGAACTTGGAGATTATTCATATCTTCATGAACAATTTTCATCTTATTGATGGCTTTGCTGTTGGACTCCTTGATCATCGTCATATAATTATTAAACTATCTTTGGAAATAAATAATTCAAGACTTTTCTCTAAGTGTTCAAAATATGTGAATGCTCTACCTATGTGTATATTCAAGTAGTCTCCATATTTTAATGCTTAAGAGAAGCATCCCATTACATCGGTTTTGGTTGTCTTCCCTCATCTTCATGTCCAC